ATTGATAAGCAGTATCAGTAAGAGTAGTAATACCGTTAAAACCTTAACGATACCCATCCTTAGGCTTAATCTTTTCTTCAAGTCTGTTTACGCTGCGTGTTTCAAAGGAAGCGCGCACTTTGTTCAGGCGATCAGCTCGTGATCTGGTGTTTTCCGCATCTCAGAGTATCGGGACAGTTTTATTATAGGTCTGCATGCAGAGTTCAGTGTTTGTATTCCCTGTGCAATTTGACATAAATTAACAATACAGTCTTTTTATTATTGCAATATGTTTCTACATTTGTATTGCCAAAATAACTGCATTGCCATGCACAATTAAAACAGTGCAAAATGAAAATAACACAAAACAGCATAACACAATTTAAGAACAAAAGTTTCTATCTCTCTCTTGTGCAGATGCGCTGGGTCTCTTACTGCCACGTTTTCTTTATGTCTGCACAAAGCCAGAGAAGCGCTATTCATTTGTTTCACTTCACAATAATAATAATAATAATAAAATCTGTGGCGTCATGCACCTAATTTTTTGAGGTTCTACGTAAATAAAAGAATAACAATTATTGTGTATTTAGTGGTGAAAAATATTATGACAGAATGCAACTGGACGTATGTAAAGTAGTAGAAGAAGAGACTTGTTTTCTCTGATCTATGTTTCAGATGCACGTCATTGTTTAACATCTATTCCTCGGAGTAGATATGGCCGTAAGTTATACATTTCATAAGAAAAAGTGTAATATTCTCTTGTGTTAGTTTAATAAGAGCTGATGCTTATTGAGATGTTTAAACCTCAATGTTTGATTCTGAATTCTGGTGCAATCTAATGGCTAACATGCTAACAGAGCTGTGCAATCCCTTTTTCATGCAAGCACATTGCTAATCTAAATCAATTGTTTATTTGGGCATTTCAGTGTGTAAGTTAATGTTTATGAACGTAAAATAGAATCCGTTTGTAGTTTGTGTCTTTTGTGTTTTTCTTAGTTTTACAGTTGTGTGAAGTAAAGTATTCATTGCATACAAAGAAGAATGTGTGACGGAGCTTTATTTCTGTTAACTATCTGTCAGCACCTTGCTCAGAACAACATTGCCAGGACAGAATACACCGAATGTGGCTTTGTAACCAAGTCCTTCAAAACTTTCTGACTGAAACCCCTATTCTAGAGCAGTGTTTCCCAACCTTTTTTTAGTCGCGGCACCCTTTGGAAATTTTAACAAACTTGTGGCACCCTACAAAATTAATTTTGTCACAATATTTGAATTTCTAACTTCGATATGATAATTTGAAAAGTATAGATATTCGGTACAACAGGGAAGAACTGCAGAATATAATGTCATACTGATTTTTTTAATATTAAAATGTTTTGTCCATCAATGGTGGCAATCAGTAGGCTAACTTCTATTGAAGAGACCAATTTATATGACAGATTTTAATGTAGGCTTTTATACATATGTAAACATTATTTAATTACCATTATAACTAGCTATCTCACAAATTTTTGCTCACTCAGTGTTTTTTTAATTTTACAGTGGGGTAATTTTGGTGCAGTAGCACGAGATAGCTTGATTTCAAACTTTGAATTGAATAAAAAATGACAAGTAAGCAGTCAGTAATAAAATAAGAACAAATAAAGAAATTAATAATGATAGCACAAATAAAAAATAACGACAGGCCTTCGGATTAAATAAATTGCTTTTTAGTTTTTCAGGTAGGTCTAACAGTAGGGTTAAGATATT